AAGAAAATTTATGATAATTTGGATCATGACTATGTTTATTTTTTCAATGTCAGTCAAGAGAATTCTTGGATGTTGATTGAACAGTGAGAAAAAAACAAAATTAACCCCAACCAAAATGAAAATAAAATCTAACTGGTATCAACCATAATAATTGTGATCAAAGATAAAAAAAAAAAAAACTTAAACGATTTCAAATAAGAAATTTTATTATCATCCACCCCTAGTATATTTCCTTTTTATGAATTTTAATAAAAAAAAGTTTAAATAAATAAATATTTTATAATTATTATGATATACAATTTAATATTGAATAAATACTTTGCATTTAACAGTAATTATAACATTCAGTATAAACAATAAAGTTATACTTCAATTAGTTTAAATTGCTTTATCAAGAAAAAGAATTTTAAAAATAAAACCATTATTTTGTAATATATATAGTCTTAAAATATTTTACAAAATGTTATTAATATATATATATATATATACAATTTTAATAAAAAATATTTCCTTTAATCAATAACTTAAAGAAAAGTGTTTAATAACATTGATAGCATTTGTTAATGCATTTGCTCTTAAAACATTATTAAGTGAAAAGGAAAACATCTCATAATAAGTTACAAAACATTTTAATTTCTAATTAAAAATAATGTTCAAAATATTTCTTAACTAGCTAGTATTTTCTATTTATCCTAAGCAAAATTGTAGATAAGATGTTAATAAAATTTGGTATCTTTAAATTAAAATTAATTAACCAATAAGTAGGTGACTAGTTAAAGGGAAACAGTGTTACAGATTAACCTTCTGAAAATTAACTATTATCTTAAACATTTTTGTTTCATTTTTTTCTTTGCTCTATGGTCCCCTACTACTCCTGCATGTTAGTAGTAGCATGGTAATCCATCAACTTCTTACCATTATGCTTCAATTATGAAAATGCCTTTTGCAGCCCAGGACCATAAGGTTACAAGACAAATCCTATAATAAAAACATCAACAAATCAAACTTGACAAAATTGCCATTATTCTTCAATTTTTTTTCGTGGTAAATAGTTGGTTTTCTTATCTTTATAGTGATTTTTTTTTTTAAATTCTCTTATAAATAGCCAAAGATAATCAAGAGATTTATATCATGTAATAAAAATTATTTGTACAAAAAAGTTGTGTAGTCACTTTATAGGAATAAATAGACCAAAAATAATTTTTTTATTTTATTTTGGTGTTACTAGAGATTGATAATTAGAGAGTTGAATTTCAATATATGTGTAACTGACAAATAATCTGAAAAAAGTGGACAAATTTTGCCAGTGGTGGCTTTGTTCAAATTTTCATATAGGCGTGCGGTGTTCTTATCCAAACAATTTCATATAGGCTCTCCATAATTTAAGAAGATACGTGTATTTAGATATATTATTGATAAAAATCAATACAAAATATAAAATGTAGTTAGTTTTTTAAATTAGAAAAAATATATAAAGTTGTCATAAAATGATTTTCTAAAATGTACATATGTAAACTAGGAAGTGGGTGTGATTTGAATTTTGTTCAAAACATCGTGAAAGTAACATTTGTAACGAATAAAATATAATAACTGTAATTAATTAGATATCTACTTACATCTTATTAATTCAAGAGATATTGAAATTGATGTTTTTAATTTTCAATGATTAATTTAATTTATATGTTTATTATTATTATTATTTTTATTGTCTGCATTTGAGGGAAGTGGCGTGGTGTGGAGCAAGTACGTGGAGCTGAGTCAGCATGACACGCTTTTTTTTTCTTCTTTTGTGTGTGTGGTTTCCTCGTTGCAAGAGTTTGTTCGATTTCGAGCTTTGCGGGTGCAATTACAACAGATCCAAACGCTACCTTATCTTCTCTTTCTTCTTTTCTTTTCTTTTCACCTTTAGCTGCCACTTAATTCCCACCATCTTATATCTTCTAATTCCCATTTCCCCTAACACTCCCTTCATTTCACTTCCCACTTCTACCCTTTACCCTCTCACCCTCATTTTGTTCTGAAATTAACACTACTACTTCAACCTTATTATCCTCAGCACCCACAAAATTGACCTTACATTATCCATATACAGTTGCACAGTTAATTTAATTAATTAGTAGTTGCTATGATTTTGATTTCAGAGAAAAGATTGTTTATCTAAAATAAAATAGAAAGGGCAACACAACACCTATCTCGAAGGGTTGTTAAAAACCCTGACACAACATGAGCCTTTTTGTGTCTTCAAGAATCGGAACTGTGAAGGGTCATTTATGAGGGTGAAATAAATAAGTTATAAACCACTAGTTTCTTTCTCCAGATAAAAAGCACCCGGTTGACAAAGGATAAAGTATTAAAGACCCATTAATTAATAATTTTGAAAAAAGGGGTTGAATTGCAAGTTGCAAGTTGTATGAATTTGACCTTTAAATTGGGCAACACCTGGTGTAGAGAAAAGAATATATTGAATGGAAAGAAGGGTGTGAATTGTGAAATGTTAAATTATGAAAGTATGGTGTGTATATTAAATGGTTAAGGAGTAGGTGTTTTGTTTTGGTAAAATGAACTGTACTGTCCTTCAAAACATAGAATAAGATATTCAACCACACTTAATGATAAGGATGCGGATAAAGGATTCCCACTTCACCCATCAAACAACTAATATTTTAAAACAAAAATACCCACATGGGTCTATGAACAAGGATAAATTAAAATACTCAAAAAGGGCACAATAAAAAATAATATTCATCTCTTTTTCTACCACAGTCTTTACTAATCTGAGACATCATTTGGAACAACAAAAAGGGTGTAATGGTAAAAGGTCAAAGTGAACCATGGTTAGAAAAGCCAACTGTAGTGAAGGTTGTTGTTAATGGACACATGAGTCTCTATCCATCTATATTTCAATTCTATCCAACTTGTCAAGCAGACACAAATTAATTAAATAATAATAATTAGAAAAAAATAAAAATAAAAAATCTATCCATCCAGTGCCTTGTTATACAGTATCAACTCGGAGATATAAATAAAAAGAGAAAAAGAAAAGAAAAATCTCGCAGTTGCCGTTCGCGTTTGTTCTTCCTTCTCCAAAACCGAAACGAAACTTCTCTCTTTCTCTATCTAAACCGCATTTCCGACTTTCTCTCTCATCGTTCCGCCGGAACCTCTCTCCGTCTCCGGGAAGGTGAGACTCGGACTCGCGACTGTGACTACTCGAGGTTACTCCGTTTTTTTTTTTTTTTTTTGGATATTCTGATCCGTGTCTTTTGAATTCAGTTGTTTGTTAGTGTTTGTAGTTGTGATTTTATCGAGAACCGAACGAGCCCGATCGTTCGCGGTTTGAATGCTCGTTTGTGTTTTTGTTCTGTTTGTTAGAGTTTGGTGTTTCGGAAGAGAATTGTGGAACGCGTCGTTGACGTGATGTTTGCAAATGTGACTCTAGCTTGAATTTGATTATGAGTCTCGGAGTTTTGTTGTCTTTGTTTTTTTCATCATCGTGTTGGGATTTAACAGTTATGAATCCCGATCGCTTTTGGATGGAATTTATTCTCTTCTGTAACAAGTTTTTTTTTTAATTAAAAATTATGTCCAGGATTTATATATGTTTGTGCATATATATATATATATATATATATATATATATATATTGTGCTTTATTTGCGGTAGTTTATTTATTTTTACTTTTGGTGTTGGAAATGGAAAATTTTTCTGAGAGATAATTCAAAACCAAGTGACTTTCCTCTAAATAGATTTTGTTTACACTTTGGCTAAATGAGGCTTTCAAGCACTTTTTCAAGAGGAAAATGGTAGGATTTAGTCCACCAATGTATTTTGATTGAAGTTTTGAGATCATTTTGTATTATTTGGATGTGGGGTTATCATATTTGAACACAGAATGTGTTTTCAGTGTTTCACAAATATTGTGAATTTGGACAGTGGTGGCTGAAGTTGGATTCCTACAGAGTTCCTACATGGCGAGATTTAGACTAGCTTTTTGTACTTTGAAATGTGGAATCAATGCCATAAAGATTAGTGCATGAGTATAGCATTATCTGTTTTCTGTGGGGAATATAATCTATTTGTTTTTGGGTGTGTGCATACAGATAAGACGAAAAACCCTTCTGTTTTTTCTCATGTGGTGCTTCATGATTTGGGATGTAAAGTTAAAATTGGAAGAGATTTTTCTCAAACAGAATTGAAAATTTTTTTGGTATACCTGGGAGCTTTTTAGATGTAAAATGCATTATGAATATCTTGTGTTTATGAAAGTCATATTTTGTTTTCTTGTGTGGCGTTAGTATTAAATACGCAATCTCTGCATTCTCCATCTCCTTGTGGTACTGTGTTTGTCTTGTACCAAAATGAGATAATAGCATAGTGAGTATGTGTATCTTCTGAAAATAATCATATCATCTTGTATGTTTAAGTGGTTCACTTTGCTTTTTATTTTTGGTGTTACCGTCATTGATTCACAAGTATAGTTGCTTTTTTGCCTTTTTTTTTCTATATTATTTTTTGAAGCCTGGTGAATAACAAATTCTATCAAGGGACGCTGATGTTGTGTACAATAAATTGGTCGTGACGACAATGATGGACATCTCAGTTAACATTAACCTAACTATTTTCTCCAAATAAATCCATGTGTCAGAGTTAGCAGTCCTAGCTGACTTATAACATCTTCGTTCTTCTTGTTCAACAGTCCACTATTTGAACCACCTTGATGATATAAACTTCATTAACAGCTATTAAGGAAGTGATTTTTTCTAGCAACTACATTATAACCAAGCTACGAAATGTTCCTGAAGGGAAGTAGAAAGACATTCACATCCGATGTCTAGTGTTGTTGACACCATATGAGTGCAGTCTTTTTTATTTTATTTTAGGAGGTCCGTGTTATATTATTCGTAAGTTACCGATTGAGAATCTTGTTTGATATTCATATTTATTATCTATTTTTGCAGAATTGATAGAAAGAATTGAAGAAAGGTACCCCTTGTCCAGTCATGGCTTCAAGATCATATGTTAATCTTTTAGACTTGGCTAGTGGGGACTTGCTTGATATTCCTCACACTCCAAGAGCTCTTCCAAGGGTTATGACCGTTCCTGGAATTATTTCTGACCTGGATGGTTATGGTTGTAATGATGGTGACTCAGATGTTAGCTCTTCTGGATGTAGGGAGCGGAAAATCATTGTAGCAAACATGTTGCCTTTGCAGGCTAAAAGAGACATAGAAACTGCTAAATGGGTCTTCAGTTGGGATGAGGATTCAATTTTATTACAATTAAAAGATGGTTTTTCTTCTGATACTGAGGTAATCTATGTGGGTTCTCTCAAGGTTGAAATAGATCTCTGTGAGCAGGATGCAGTTGCTCAGAGATTGCTGGATGAATTTAATTGTGTACCTACCTTTCTTCCCCATGATCTCCAGAAGAAGTTCTACCTTGGCTTTTGTAAGCAGCAACTTTGGCCTCTCTTTCATTATATGCTACCCATATGCCCAGATCATGGTGATCGCTTTGACCGTATACTGTGGCAGGCTTATGTTTCTGCAAACAAAATATTTGCAGACAAGGTTATGGAAGTAATTAATCCGGATGATGATTTTGTTTGGGTTCATGATTATCATTTAATGGTTTTGCCTACTTTCTTGAGGAAGCGATATAATCGGGTTAAACTTGGATTCTTTCTGCATAGTCCTTTCCCTTCATCAGAAATCTACCGAACTTTACCAGTAAGGGATGAAATTTTGAGGGGATTGTTGAACTCCGATTTAATTGGCTTTCATACATTTGATTATGCTCGCCACTTTCTTTCTTGCTGCAGTAGAATGCTAGGTCTGGACTATGAATCTAAGCGAGGACATATAGGGCTTGATTACTTCGGCCGCACTATATTTATTAAAATTTTGCCTGTAGGCATTCACATGGGTAGGCTTGAATCTGTATTAAATCTTTCTTCTACATCTGCTAAACTAAAAGAGGTTCAGGAAGAGTTTAAGGACAAGAAAGTAATTCTTGGCGTTGATGACATGGATATTTTTAAGGGCATTAGTCTGAAACTTCTAGCTGTGGAGCATCTACTGCAGCAGAATTCAGATTTGCAGGGCAAAGTTGTTCTAGTTCAAATTGTAAATCCTGCAAGGGGCTTAGGGAAGGATGTTCAGGAAGCAAAGAACGAAACATATTTAATTGCCAGGAGGATCAATGATACATATAGCAAGAATAATTATCAGCCTGTCATTCTCATTGACCGCCCTGTTCCTCGCTTTGAGAAGAGTGCGTATTATGCTGTAGCTGAATGTTGCATTGTCAATGCTGTAAGAGATGGTATGAACTTAGTCCCATATAAATATATAGTCTGCAGACAGGGAACTGCACGACTGGATGAATCATTGGGTAGAAAAAGTGATTCTCCTCGTACAAGCATGCTTGTTGTGTCTGAGTTCATTGGTTGTTCACCGTCTCTTAGTGGGGCAATAAGAGTCAATCCCTGGAACATAGATGCTGTGGCTGACGCCATGTATGCAGCCCTTACTATGAGTGATTCAGAGAAGCAGTTGCGCCATGAGAAACACTATAGGTATGTCAGCTCTCATGACGTGGCATATTGGGCGCACAGCTTTATGCAGGATTTGGAGAGAGCCTGCAAAGATCATTACACCAAAAGATGCTGGGGATTTGGTCTGGGCTTGGGGTTCAGAGTTGTTTCTCTTTCTCATGGTTTTAGGAAGTTAACAATTGATCATGTTGTTTCAGCATACAAGAGAACCAATAGAAGGGCCATCTTTCTTGATTATGATGGTACTGTTGTACCACAATCTTCCATATGTAAAGTCCCCAGTCCTGAAGTCATCGCCGTCTTAAATGCTCTGTGTAATGATCCCAAGAATATTGTGTTCATTGTGAGTGGGAGGGGAAGGGATTCACTGAGTGATTGGTTTACTTCATGCCAAACGCTGGGACTTGCAGCCGAACATGGGTACTTTTTAAGGTATGTCATTTTAATGTCAGGAAGATTGGGCAAATTTATATCTCCCTCTAAGCCACCTGTCCTTTCCCTCGAAAAAGCTTAACTAGTGTTTTTCTTCCCTTCTTTTTATGGTTGCAGATGGAACAAAGATTCAGAATGGGAAGCCAGTCACTTGTCTGCAGACCTGGATTGGAAAAAGATAGTGGAACCTGTCATGCAGTTGTATACAGAAGCAACTGATGGTTCTAATATAGAAATTAAGGAAAGTGCTTTGGTGTGGCATCATCAAGATGCAGACCCTGATTTTGGTTCTTGCCAAGCCAAAGAATTGTTGAGTCACTTGGAAAGTGTGCTTGCTAATGAACCAGCAGTTGTTACTAGAGGCCAGCATATAGTTGAAGTTAAGCCACAGGTAAGTTTAAAATTCTTTCCCCTATATTCCTTAATCTTGAAATTCAGGCTGGAGTGGACGTAATCAAGCACCCCTTTACTTTCTGCAGGGAATAAGCAAGGGTTTGGTAGCTGAGCAGGTTCTTCAGACCATGGTTAACGGCGGTAATCCACCAGATTTTGTACTGTGCATAGGAGATGATAGGTCTGATGAGGACATGTTTGAAACCATTTTGAGGACGGTTTCATGCCCATCATTGCCATCAGCTCCTGAGATCTTTGCCTGCACTGTAGGTAGGAAGCCTAGCAAGGCCAAGTATTTTCTTGATGATGCTGTTGATGTTGTAAAGTTGCTTCAAGGCCTTGCTGCTTCATCCAATCCAAAACCAAGACATCTTGCTCACTTTCAAGTCTCTTTTGAGAGCACAGTTTGAGTTATAGACAAGTTAAGACAGCATTATAGGTTAATTGTGCTGTTTTCTTGCAACGGTTGTGAATCAATGAAATTTTTGGTTATTAATCTTAACCTGACAAACAAATGGTGCGGCCTTGTTGTTGCGGATCTAATTCTTTTTAGGGCTCCTGAACCGGTTTGAGTGACACGTGGAAGGTTATTGATAAATACTGCGGTTCATGGATACGCCTGACAATTCTTCTCCTGTACATGGTAACATCAATTGATATATTTGCTGGTGCCACCGAGAGATTTAGTCGTGCTTAGATTGTTAGATCTTATGGCTGTTTGCGCTGGACAATGGGGCACCCAAACTTGTATAGTACAATATTTTTGTTGCAATACATAATGCTTTTCTGGTTTGGGATCTCTTTAACTTGCTCAATAGCGAATGCAATCACTCATAGCAACACACTCTTCAGCAAACAGATCTTTATGGGCATGCAACTTCTACCATGAAGCACTTCAATCAAGTTTCGCTAGCAATATATTATTTCGATAGTATGATAATATAAATATAGTATAACATAAAACACTAATTTAGTATGTTTAATTTATATACAAATTTACATGCATAACTATTGAGATGATATTACATAAGTTAATGGTTAGAATGTTTTTATTAAAACATAGCATTAAATGGAGTTAAATAACAAAAACAAAACCTTTTTTTTTTATCGTGTGAGGTCGACTACATATGAATTACACCACATTTATTTACCTCAAGATCCATGGTACGCATACCCTCCAATGTCTTTTCATCTTTCTCTTTCGTTTTGTAATAAACTATATCACACGTTATTTAAAGTAACTATATACGTTTATAACTTGTAAAAATAAAATAAAGCTTCCAATTTGACTGGTCAAAATGGGTAAAGTAAAGAGGAGTGGTATCATATTTTCTAAACACACCATTAAAGTAAAAAATAAAATAAAATTAAAAGTGTTTGATTCGAAAAAATATGAAAAAACAAATAAAAAAAAGTAAAAAGATATTGATATGAAATTGCTTGCATTACTCACCACCGTCAAAGTACACTCACATGGGTGCAATTATATGACACTGGTTAGGTTTAGTGCATTTTGTACACTTTTTTTAATGAACTAAACCTGGTGTTCAAGAATCATTCATGCAAGCCATACCTGCCTGGTTATAGTGATAGATTTGGCGCATTTTTTGTCTGCAACTAATCAAAAGGATGAACATTTGTACTTCAACATCCTTGTTTTCCCAAAATTTAGTAGCTGTATGTATTAGACTGTAATGTGTTCAGAAATGATGAATGCTTGACAATGCAACCTATTGAGGATAGGGCTGCATGTTTTGACACCTACAAACGCAGCCAAAAAACATGAAAAATGGTCCCAACCCAGTAAATTCTGTGTTGAAGAAAGACAATAATACTTGTTCAGTCTAAAAATGATTTGTTGAGTTATTGTCTACTTCGTCTTATTACTCATAAGTTCAATTTGGAATAACATGTAAACTATAGGAGTTTATTTTAATGAGATTAAGTATTTGGTTTTTATTTTATAGAAAAAGTCCTTCAAAGTTTATAGGCCTTTAGGAAGTAAATAAGAAAGCATAGGAAAAATTTAAGGTACAACAGGATGTTAGTCAGGAATTTGTTATTATTATGGTTTCCTTATATGTACAATTCTTATTTTAGCTCTTAAATGGTTCTAACTTCTTTCCCTTTTTTACTGTATTCTGTTCTATAGATAGTATATTCCCAATCACAGTTACGAAAGATAAATTAACATAAATTCCTCATATGTACAACCTAAAATAGGAATTCTAATTATAGGTTGATTCTATACAGCATGTAAAAGGAAAAAATAATTAACAGAACAAGCTTTTTTTAATTTAAACAAAAAATGACTTATTTTATGTAGTTAGTTCTTCTACAAGTGTTGATTAAAACAATTATCAAAACGAAGTAATAATTAAACCATGTAGAAACTTATCTGTACAAAACATGTAAACAACTTTTTTCTGCTTTGTTTTCTTCGATCTGATTCAGTAGACATCCTCTCTTAACATGAAACTTCTGCTTTTGTGAGAGTGGAATCTAAAATAGGGCAAGTTTGTCTTGAGGTACAGTTCATTCTTTGTTTTCTCAAGATTTTATATATAAAGAGTGTTAGTAGTGACTTTGGGACTTTATGGTTGTTAGGGAATTAATAGAGGGTTAGTATTATGTTATGTCTTATAACAGAATAACTGTTTGTAATGCCTTTATAAGGTTTGTAATAATTCAATGAAAGATAAATTTTACTCCCTCAATTGTCTTCTTTGTATTAATCATTCTTTGGTGGGTTCAATAGAGTTTTGCAGAATCTATTTTTATAACAGATTGGTATCAAGAGCAAGGTCGGATATTCTGGGAGGTTAAGATGAGTTCTGCGAAATTTGATATTGAGAAATTCACGGGCAAGAATGATTTCACCCTTTGGAGGATAAAGATGAGAGCTCTTCTGGTTCAACAAGGAATTGAAGAAGCGCTGCTTGGTGAAGGAAAAATGACAGCCACATTATCTGATAAGGAGAAGAAGGAAATGCTTAATAAGGCCCATAGTGCCTTGATTCTCTCTTTGGGTGACAAGGTTCTAAGAGAAGTCTCGAAGGAGAAGACGGCTGCTGCGATTTGGCTCAAATTGGAAAACCTGTACATGACCAACTCTTTGGCAAATAGGCTGTATTTGAAGCAAAAATTGTATACATTCAAGATGCAAGCAGGAAAAGGGTTGGAAGATCATTTAGATGACTTCAATAAGATCGTTCTTGATCTAGATAATATTGAAATCAAGATTGATGATGAAGACCAAGCCTTGCTGTTACTGAGATCGTTACCTAGTGAGTTTGATACTCTTGCAGACACGCTCATTTATGGCAGAGACACGTTGTCATTGGAGGAGGTCCAATCTGCCTTATTCTCAAAAGAACTGAAGAGGAAGTCTGAGGTTGGAAGAGATCAAGATGCTGAAAGTTTGTATACAAGAGGCAGGTCAGAAAAGAAAGATTTTAGAACCAAGAAGGGTCCAAGATCAAAGTCAAAAGAGGGAAAGAAGAGAAAGTGTTTCATCTCGTGGGAGTGAGGAGCACTTGAAGAAAGAGTGCCCGGAAAACAAGAAGAAAAAGAAGCACGGAGATCAAAAGGGTAATTGTGGTGATGCCGATATAGTTTCGGAGGGATACGAAAGTGCTCGAAGTCATGTGCATTACGGAAGAAAAGGGCAAATCGAGTGGGTTCTTGATTCAGGATGCACATTCCATATGTGTCCTAACAAGGACTGGTTCATTTCCTATGATGACAACCATGAAGGAAGGGTTTTGTTGGGCAATAACAAGGCCTGCAAGGTGATCGGAATTGGTGCCATTAAACCGAAACTTGCCGATGGAGCCATAAGGATCTTGAAAGGAGTAAGGCATGTACCGGAACTAAAGAGGAATCTGATTTCTCTTGGCATGCTTGATACACAAGGATATGTCTGCAAGGTTGAAGGTGGAGTTCGAAGATCACAAAAGGTTCTATGGTGCTGATGAAGGGAAAGTTAGATCATGGTTTGTATTTTCTTCAAGGAAGTACCCTGGTTGGAACTGCGCCACTCGCAGTTTCGAGGAAGTTCAGTCTCAAGCAAGTCTTTGGCATAAAAGGCTTGGTCATATCGATGAAGGGGGATTGAAGGAGTTAACCAAGCAGAGACTGTTGGACAAAGACAACATTGATGCATTAGAATTCCGTGAACATTGCATTTTTGGGAAGGCAAAGAGATTAAAATTTTCCACTGCTTGTTCATCATACAAAAGGTACTCTTGACTACATTCACAGATGATTTGTGGGGGCCATCAAGTGCTCCTTCTCACAAAGGAGCAAGATATTTTCTATCCATCATTGATGATTTTTCAAGAAAGGTATGGGTTTACATTTTGAAGAACAAGAGTGAATCTTTTGAAAAATTTAAAGAATGGAAAGTGTTAGTTGAAACTCAAACCGGTAGAAAGATCAAAAGGTTTAGAACTGATAATGGCTTGGAGTTTTGTTCTGGAGAATTTGATAAATATTGTAAAGGGAATGGTATTGTTAGGCATAAGACAGTTAGAGGAACCCCTCAACAAAATGGGCTTGCTGAAAGAATGAACAGGACAGTCATGGAGAGGGTTAGGTGCTTACTGTCTAATGCAAATTGTTCTGCACAATTCTGGGCTGAAGCTGTGATGACAGTAGCTTATTTGATAAATAGATGTCCATCTACTGCTATTGGCATGAAGACACCAGAGGAAATGTGGTCTGGTCATTCTCCAAACCTTGAAAACTTGAGAGTATTTGGGTGTGTGGCGTATGCTCATATCAGCCAAGGCAAGTTGGATCCAAGGGCTCTGAAATGCATGTTTCTAGGATACCCTCAAGGTGTTAAAGGGTACAGATTGTGGTGCATGGAGAAGGGGCAGCCAAGGGTATTAATTAGCAGAGATGTTGTGTTCGAAGAATCTGAAATGTATCACTCTGAGAAGGTTTCAAGTCAGGAACAGCAGAAGGGTGATGAGAAAATTCAGCTGGAAATGGATACATTAAAAGGGCAATCTTCTGTTGACTTTCAGCAATGTTATTCAGAATTTAATCAAGAAAGTAACACAGAAGCTGAGACAAACACTAAAGTGCAGAATAATGATGATCTACAAGAGTATCAACTAGCCAGGGATAGAGAAAGAAGAGAAATCAGACCTCCAGTTAGGTTTGGACATGCAGATATGGTTGCTTTTGCACTCACCGCAGCAGAGGAAGTTGAAGGAGATGAGCCTAAGAGTTATAGTGATGCTGTGAATGGTAAGCAATCTCAAGAGTGGATTGCTGCCATAAATGAAGAATTAAGCTCTTTACATAAGAATGGCACTTGGGTGCTGGTAGACAAGCTAAAAGGGAAGAAACTTGTCAGTTGCAAGTGGATTTTTAAGCTGAAAGAAGGGATTCCAGGAGT